CACCTTCCATATGGTATTCACCTTCCACATGGTATTCACCTTCCATATGGTATTCACCTTCCATATGGTATTCACCTTCCACATGGTATTCACCTTCCACATGGTATTCACCTTCCACATGGTATTCGCCTTCCACATGGCATTCACCTTCCACATGGTATTCACCTTCCACATGGTATTCACCTTCCACATGGTATTCGCCTTCCACATGGTATTCACCTTCCACATGGTATTCACCTTCCACATGGTATTCACCTTCCACATGGTATTCACCTTCCACATGGTATTCGCCTTCCACATGGTATTCAGCTGCGACATCGCGGTTGTTGCCATATCAAGTCTTGTCTTGATCTCTCTGGTACAGCCGTTAAGAATAATATATCATTTTTTGGGGACCAAAAAGCCATTCAGTCCAACAGCAGATATCTAGTGGTTAAGTCAGTGGTTTTCAACCTTCCTAATGCCGCGACCCTTTAATACAGTTCCTCGTGTTGTGGCGTCGGCTCGTTGGTTAAGTCGATGCGAACGCTTCGTAATGCCGTGATGCCGGGTTCGATCCCAGCTGCGGGCCATACGCCTTGCGTTGGTTTCGACAGTGGTATCAAGAAAGCCGACAGTCAAGAAACCAATGGCAAACTACTGAACATAAATTTGCCTAGAAAACCCGCACAACAGCCAGGGGCGATTGAGGTTGGTTCAGGAACGTCCTGTTAAGGATACGCAACTAACCATGCTGTGGTAACCTCCAAACCATACAGCTGTTTTCGTTGCTATTTAATAACGTCAGTAAATATGTGTTTTCCGATGGTCTTTGGCGACCCATGTGAAATTGTTGTTCGACCCCAAAAAAGGGTCGCGACCTATTGATTGAGAACTGCTGGCTTAAGCGAATGTTACTGTAAAATAAGATAGCTGAGCACTGGATAGTAAATAAACATAACTATGTATGAAAGATAGCTTCGTATTGCATCACACGCGATGTCTGAGAAATTTTTTTGCATTTCATACATTGACCACATTAGAAACGAAGATGTTCGCCATAAAACTATACAGCACATTGGCAACTATGAACCTCTTTTAGCTACAGTGACAAGGCGAACAATGCAATGGCGTGGACATGTAATACGATCTAACGGACTCTCAAAAACAATACCACAGGGCTCAGTAGAGGGAAAGAGGAGAAGAGGCAGACCAAGAAAGACCTGGTTACAGAACCTGACTGACTGAACAGGCCTCAGGCATGCAACCATAAAGTCCATCGCAATTGACCGCCACATTACGGGATGCTGCTGATAAAACTGATATGAATTGTACAAGAAGATACTTAACTGTCTCAAGGAACGCATCATGAGTTCATAGAGTCCTATCTAGAAACCCAGTTCACGCATGATGCGCCGACTTTATGTCTCTCTTGTGCCCACTGGGACTCAAAGAGTTAAAAGAGACCGCTCATTCGTGGTTAATGGGACCAGTTAATCCTCTTGTAAATTTTCTAATGATATGCTATCTGTGTCAAACACGAAACCGTCGTCAAAAGACCGGGGAGGGGGGGGGGGGGGGGGTAGTTACGACAGAAATGAAATGTTTACGTATCATTCTAGGTGTAGTAAGGAAAGGTCGATTTAGGAACGTTGATACCAGGAGAAGAGCCGGCACAGTATTGAACGTTATAGGTAAACAACAGATCAAATGGTCTGGTCATGTAGCAAGATAGTAGAGAGACAGTGCACCACAGGGATGACTGTTATACAGCAGTAATAGATCCAGAGGTAGACCACACAGACAATGGGTTGCAGAAATATCGGAGGCAGTAAAAAATACGATATATAAAGCGAGCGGAAAGACCCGTTCCAGAGATTTCTTTCTGCCCTGACATTCTATGAGTAGAGACAAGAAAAAAAGTCAGACAGAGTCAATCTCACAGACATCCTGAAAGACTTATGTACAACCACAAATATAGACACATAAACAGACAGACATAGGAATACTTTTGGACAGACAGACATATACACACAGAGTCACACTCACGGACTAACAGACACAAGTAAATATAGTGTCGCACTCATAAACATACACAGTCACACTAACAGAGAGACATTCAGACAGACAAACATTAACATCAACTAGATCAATAAATCACACTCACAGAGAGAGACAGTCAAACAGACACAAACATTCACATCAACTTCATCAATATATCACACTATCAGAGAGACACACTTAGACAAACAAACACTAACATCAACTTCATCAATATATCACACTGACAGACAGACAGTCAAACAGACAAACACTCACATCAACTTCATCAATATATCACACTGACAGACAGGCAGACAAACAGACAAACACTCATATCAACTCCATCAATATATCACAGTAACAGACAGACATTCAGACAGACAAACACTCACATCGACGCCATCAATAAATTCCATGACAGACTCTTCGCCGTCGAGCAGCACGGGAACAATTGTGGTTTCAGTCTGATCGCCATCGCCTGTCAGAAGCAGAAATAGAACTTAATAGGGCTGTCAACACCACCACCACTACCACCACAATTATCACCAATACCACTGCCACCACCATCGTCATTATTACCACTACAACCACTATCATCATTATCACCACTACCACCATCATCAGTAACAACACCACTATCACCACCATCACCATTACCACCACTACCACCACCATCATCATCAACGCCACTGCCACCACATTCATCATCAACACCACCACTACAACCATCAACACCACTACCACCACCATCATTAACACCACTACCACCACCATCATCATCAACGCACTACCACCACCACCATCATTAACACCACTACCACCACCATCATCATTACCACCACTACCACCACCATCATCATCAACACCACTACCACCACCACCATCATTAACGCCACTACCACCACCACCATCATTAACACCACTACCACCACCATCATCATTACCACCACTACTACCACCATCATCATCAACGCCACTACCACCACCACCATCATTAACGCCACTACCACCACCACCATCATTAACGCCACTACCACCACCACCATAATTAACGCCACTACCACCACCAACATCATTACCACCACTACCACCACCATCATCATTACCACCACTACTACCATCATCATTACCACCACTACCACCACCATCATCATCATCAACAACATTATCACTATCATGATCCTGGTCATCCTGATTCTATTTCTCCTCTTTCTTCGCTTGTTCATCTTCCTGCCACTCATAAACTGCTAGAGTCGCTTGTTCATCTTCTTGCCACTCATAAACTGCTAGAGTCGCTTGTTCATCTTCTTGCCACTCATAAACTGCTAGAGTCGATCCAGTGCTCGTTCTACTGTTTACGTTTTACTTGGGCGGCTAGCTCGTCGTGGGTTTCCGCTAGGGTGCGATATCTGCGCCTATCAGCCAAATGCATCTGAATTCAGCAAACCCTTCACAGTAGCCTTTGACGACATACATGCAGTAGATCTATTCCCTTTTCTTTCCCCCAAAACAGGGAGCCCACGGTGGTGGGGAAGGCAGAAATCAATACAGCATAGTTGACAAAATCTGGACTCGTCTTCTAACACATGTAAATAATTGTCGTCTGGTAAATTTGGATGAGAATAACCTGGACAAAAACAAAAGTAATGGAGACATGTTGAAAGAAACTGGCGCACCAAGAGAAGTGATTGCTCACATCAGGAAGAGACTGTCTATGTTCTTTGGTCATGTCATGAGAAGTAGAAAACTGGAGTACATCGTGACAGCAGGAAAGTTGGAGGGGAGAAGAGGCAGAGGGAGACCGAGAGAACAAATGCTGGACAGTTTGACATTATGTCATAGAAGATCATCTGTGTCAGAGTTGATTGAAAGTACATGAGACAGAAAGTTGTGGATATACACGACTACCAACGCCACACTGCATGGACTATGGAAGATCATCTGTGTCAGAGTTGATTGAAAGTACATGAGACAGAAGGTTGTGGATAGACATGACTACCAACGCCACACGGCAAGGACTATGGAAGATCATCTGTGTCAGAGTTGATTGAAAGTACATGAGACAGAAAGTTGTGAATATACACGACTACAAGCGCACACTGCATGCACTTTTAGAAGAAGAAATTTGGGATGAAGTCAAATGCAAAACAGTTCAAACAATGACAGCGAATCATAACATGAAAAATATTCTATGCAATCTTTTTTCTCACTTGAGGCGTGGAAAAGAATTCTCAAGAGCTAAATAAATATGTCTGACGTGAGTCTTAGATGATTAGTGAAAAATTAGGTGGAAGCGGCCGAGATAACGTTTTATAGATTAATTTTTTTTTTAAATACCCAGAAACCATGAGTTGTTAACCCTTTGGCTCGGTACTATGGATATCGCAACCCTTCGGCCTTGCTTCCATTGTAAATACCGTAAATCTGGGAGAAAATGTGGCTTTTCTGTCTACCCCAGGGAGTGAACTCGGACCACATAGATTTCGTCACCCGGTCACAGCGCAATCCGGTTTAGCCAACTACGCTAGAGAACCGGGCAAGGTTGTAGATATACATGACTACGAACGTCACACGGCATGGACTTTAGGAAGTAGGAGTTAGGAGGCAGAAAGTTGTGGATATACATGACTACCAACACGACACGGAGTGGACTTTAGGAAAAAGGAGATAGGAGACAGAAGGTTGTGGATATACATGTGACAATACGCTCGGTGACTCCAGAATGTCTTTCCTCAACCTACTTTTATTTCTTTGTATTATGAAAGTATACAGGAAAATAGGGATTTGGATACATCCTTAATCTAAGTAAGACGACCACATCACACCTTTAATTCTCCTGGACCGTTGGTCATATCAAACACTAAAACTTGTTCCCAGATGTTAAGTGTTAAGGTACAGAGATAAGACTGACCAAGCAGACTTACTGACTGGAGATTTGCACACCATTGGTTGGTGTCAGATAGTTATTCCCCCTGCCAGATCTTCAGGAACAGATAACAAGGGCTAATTGCCATTATCTTCCCCTGAGGTTACCAAACTCGACGGCAGGTCCGACGGTCACTATTGACACAGTGAGCGGAAAGTGTTAACAGAAGAATTGACACCGTCTGATTTTATTGTGATGGCAGGTGAAGTAGGCTGGAGGTGTAACTTGGCCTATTAGCTTTGACCAGCTTAATTGAACTTGTTGAATGTGAGCGTGGGAATTTAAACAAGTGTTGTACAGCCCTGACTGACAGCGAATAAACTTGCCCACAGGGGAGGAGCTATGACATCCTTGAATGAGAATGATTTTAGGCGTAATGTAGGAGGAGCTTGATAAAAGTTATAAAGTGGTGAACTTAAGGTCTGGTAAATGAGATCCTGTCTAGCACATGCCATCTGTTGGGCTTAACCTAAGCTTGAGACAGAACTTTTGGCATCGTGGTTTCATTTTTCCAGGTAAGATCGAAATTAAGTTCAAATCTATATTTTATGATAGAGATATAACTGTCATTTTGCTCAAGTGTGTCTTCATCACTTTGTAGTACTCCTAGGCGGACATTTCTTCATTCTCGTAGGGCACTGTCACATTGCTTTATTTCCTATTTGATAGTGTCATGAATGTTTTTCGTGTACATGTGTTTCAATGTTGTAAAACCTAAATGTTGTTGTTGCCATTGAAATTTAATGAACTATCATGTTTTTGAAATCACAAGCGTGAAGATAACTTTGGCAATCTTTTCACGTGTGGTTAATGTGAATCTGTATTACATACAGCTAACACACTGAAAATGTGTTTAACTCTCGGGAGGCTAATGCGGAGATTGATCCCGGAGAGAAAATCCTTGAGATTTGGTATTTGATTCGCCTCAGAAATATTGTAGCTTTCTGGCGCGTCGATTGTTCCAAGCATAGATTCCAGAACTGGTTCTGTCTGACTGATTGTCATTTTGAGTCTGTACGAGAGATGGCACCTGACGTAGAAGACTTGACTATCATTACAGGACGTGTAGAGGAAGCAGAAGATGTAACGGTTGGAATGTGAGACATAAGCCCTTCCAAATTGGGACAGGAGTGAATGTGAGCATGAGGGAGAGATGAAATGTTTTATTTAAATAAACATGCTTGATGTTAGTATAATATACATGCTTAGTGTACATCTAGAGCAGATACTACAAATATGCGCTTGTTTCTTCATTCTCCAGTTCCCACATTGGGCAGGGGACTAGTAGGCATCCATTATTTGCCGACCGTCGAGTGTAACGACCTGCAGGAAAGCAGTGAGGACGACAAACTGGAAAAGATAGGCAGGGTCTCAAGCCGAGAACTGTCCAAAGGTTGTTACTTTCCAATACCTTTATGATTTCATCATTCCACATAACCTAAACTCTACTAGCCTAAACAAGTTCATTTTATTTTAGTCAGATTTTATTAAATAAATCATTTTGATGTTTAAACATAGTTGAGTAAATGTGTACTTAGGTTCAAGTGTCTTTGTGCATATTAGTTTACTTCAGCTAACAAATATTTAAATCACTTGATGGGGGCTTTTTTTGCAATGCCAGGAGAGGGAGACCAGTCGCAGGGGTTAACTGAGCACCTGGATTATATCACAGTGGGTGTATCCAGATATCTATCTATCCCTTCTCCTTCACCTGTGGATACAAGTACAGCAACTTTCATTTCATGGAACGAGCCACTCGCTGTTTTCTTGGCTATCCAGGACTGTCTAGGATCAACATAGCTTAGATAATAGTCCAGTTTCTCACGTGGGTGGGCACTGTTAAGGTTCAAACCCACACCCTCACTATATCAGTGTATTTACCCACGTGGGCGCGCGACAATACATGACAACCAACACGACACGGAGTGGACTTTAGGAAAAAGGAAATAGGAGACAGAAGGTTGTGGATAGACATGACAACCAACACGACACGGCGTGGACTTTAGGAAGAAGCAGATATGGAGCGATTTGTGAGCCGTTTTAAGAGGCCTGTGCTTTGCTAAGTGTCAACTAAATATTATGTATAGCATTTAATTCCTCAGCTTCGCCTTTGTCTCCAACGATAGCCTATGTTTGGTCATTGCTCCTAACTGCACCTGAGGTTCTTAACGCCACTGGACCGAGCCTTCACCCATTAAATCTGTTCGACAAAGCCACCCCCCCTCCCCGCAACAGCCTTAGCGCATCTAGGGGGGCGGTAGCAGCCACTGTAGGAAGACTAGTCTAGTAGGCTGCTACCACCCCACGCCACCCTAAATGTGACCTATAAAACGATTGCTTGCCCTGTCGCCCCCAGTAGCTCCAGCTGGGTTATAACAGTACTGTCTCCATCTGGTTGAGATGGTCTTGACTGAAGCACCCAGAGTTTGAAACACTGGTCTAACCAGGTCTGCATATTTCTTCTTCTTTCCTCTTCGCCTTCACCGGCTACAAGCTCCGGCGGAAAGTTTTGGTTGTTCGTCCACTTCTGGACTATAGTCCATATCCAGAAA